GCGCGTTCAACTATTGATTTTCCCATATACCAATAGCAGAATAAAAAAATTGCTTGAAAGAAATGCAGATCATATTAAAAGGTCAAATGGCTACTCATTGACATTGTTATGTTTTTATTTTTGCTAATTTTCATTTGCTTATCATACATTCTAAATGTTGTTCATGCTAAACATGAAATGTTGAATGCCATTCATTGTTGTACATAATAGTAAAGTATTTTCTCTCACACCCCTCATATACAACAATAATTACGCTTCAATCCCATACAAGTTGGAGTCCGCTAGTCCCTGACACCTAGGTGGCAACGCGATGAAATCCCTTGTTTATTTTTCGTTACATTTGGGTGCGAACGAAATGCTTAGATGGACATGTTACAATCATGTCCAATGAAGTATGATATGTATTAATAGGATTTATCATGAATTAACAAATTTTAGTTATCTGTCAACCTATCATAACTCTCCTTTATAAGACCGGCACACAAGTACTTCAAGTTGTTTCGACATCTCAGGACTTGTAAATTTGGAGGATGTTATCGATTCAAATAACTACATTGTAAACGTTAATATTGTTGTTATGTTTGAAGGGAAAATGTTCAAATTTGTCCTTGTACGGTTTGAAAGTACTCGGGTTTACCTTCTATTACATTTTTAGTCCACTGTTATTCCTGTCGTTGGCAAATTGTTTATATTCGTTCTAACACATAAAAGGTTTGAGCTAAAACTATCGATTTTTCTAATCCTGGAAAAGTCATACATATGTTTATAAATGTCTTATAATCGGATACTCAATATCAAGTGAGAAATGGAAAAAAAAATAATCTATGTTTTTACGTTAGCAACAACTCCCCCCCCCCCCCCCCTCCTCCCCCCCCTAACCACAAGCCAAACTCATCACATGGGGTGCATGGATTGGGGTTATTAAATATTGAAAAAAAGAAGTAGAAAAGAAGCAAATTATTTAATTGGAAGAGTAATTTAAAAGCATCAAGCTGCTGACTTTTGTAGTTTTTTAAGGATCTGAACCACAGCTTTTCAGATATCAAAAAGTAAAAATATGACTACTATATAGTGTCATAATTATTAAATTTAAGGGTTAATTACATTTTTAGTTCCTTAATTATTGATAATTTCTAATTCAATCCTTATAATATATGATTAAATACATTTAACCTTTCATTACTCGAAATATGCACTTTCAATCCGTTTATTGAAAATATTCATAAATTTTTAGAATTATAAATTGTTTTATCATTTAATTTCCCATTTATTGTATTAAGTTTGCAGTGTTATTGTATATTTGAGGGTAACATATTCCTTACATAATGGGACTAAAAGCGTACAATTTGATTAATTGAAGGTTAAATGTATTGAGTAGTATATTACAAGAACTAAAATCAGAATTTAATAGTAACTGAGGGACTAAAGTGCTAATATCCCTAAAATTTAATTTTAAAAACTTTAGTCTAATAGTTTCATAATTATATTATTTAATGTACTCTTAATGCTTCTTAGATTTTTGAGATCCAATGCCATAAAAATAAAAATAATATTTGATACTACGTGATTTTTACGACCATTAATTTGCCTTTGACTTCCTTCCATGTGAAGTTATGTTGCATTTAAGTTTTTTTTTTTTTTCCTTTTGACATTCAAGAAAATTATTTCTTTATTATTACTTTAACAATTTTTATTTTCCAGCAGAGCACAATATTGTTTTTTACTTTAAATTTCTTTCCCATTTAGAAACTACTAGTTGATATGGGGTCGGCTGAAAAAAATGATTTTTATTTATTTTTTAATTTAACCGCTCGATATTTGAAATCTATTGATCTGGCTAAATCAGATTTATATAAACCAACTAAGGAGAGGTGAGGCAGGAGAAAGGTGGCAAATTTCACTTTTCGAGTCGGTAATTAGAATTTTACCACGGATTCAATGCACAAATTGCTATATTTAGTGGTTTGTTAACGTGAAAATAAAATTTAGACAAAAATACCATAGCTGAAACATGAAAAATCTTCATTTTTTTAATCTAGAGTTTGAACGTTTGTCGATTTGAACTCCAAAAGTTTAAACTACATTCGTAACTCCATGAATTTTTCAAACTCAATCACATATTGTGCTAGAGTTCGAGTTACCAAAGCTTCGAGCTCTGGCTAGAACCCTGCTAAAATTGTTCACTAAAAGATAACTTCATTCTCAGAGTTCGAATTCGAAAGTTCTGATTAAAAATAAATGGATACTTATCAGTCGATCATAATCTTTATTGGTGTATGAAATAGTTCCAAATGGAAAACTAATGTCACAATCACTAAAAGCACAAAGGTATTATTGAACAATTGTACATTAAGCAAGTGCTGGCCATGCATAAATAAGTTTTTAGAATGTTTCCATAGTCAAAGATTTGTCTTCAAATGAACTCTTATATGTTAGTTGTTTTTCTTCTCTAATTTACCTTTATACAATAAAGTTTTATTTGAATGTTTGCATAAGAAAAAAAAGTAATCCAGTACAAAGTTTCACATCTAAAATAATGTTCTATTTGGAATATATAAATAATTATAATCTATAACATTTGACCTCTAATACTCCTTCAGATCCATTTTAGTTATCGTGCTTACTAAAAATAACTAATCCAAAACAATTGTCATTCTAAAAAATCAAAAATATTACAGTAAGTGTTAATTTTTTCTTAAGGTACGTGTAAAAGAAAAATATGACAAGTAAAATGGATCGGAGGGATCAGAGTATAAATTTACAAGAGAGAGCAAATTATTAGTTTCGTCCTCGAACTATTGTCAGCCTTAAAAACACTCATCTACTTGATTAACTTAACTTAGATACACCCCGATCTTCCACATGACATAGCAATTGGTCTCAAATTCTTGTAGGAGCATAAGACTCTTAATAAAAAGCCGGGAGAAGTGTTGGAAACACTCCTAAAGCTGACGAGAATTTAAGAGTGCATTATTTCACTCATGTTACAAGATCAGAGGTGTATTTAAGTTCAGTTAGTCAAATAAATGAATGTTTTTAAGGCTATCAATAACTCAGGATGAAACTAACAATTCGCATCAAGTTTAGAATGTTTTCAATACTTTTCTCAATCTACAATAAGGCATGGAAAATTTAATGCCAAACAAAACAATAACTTGTCATGGGCGGATGCAATCATTTAGTTGCGGGTTCACTTGAACTAATATTACTTTCAATGCGTAACATAAATTCATATGTCAAAATCTACTGAAATCACGACCTCATAGAGCTTAAATCCTATATACGCCCCTGTTAATCTTTATTAATTATATCTTTATCCACCATTCATTTGGTCAAACTCATAGCACATTGCATATTGTGCAACATTAGTTGTTTCATCATGTGCATGAGGCTAAAAAACCCATGAATTAAGCCTTACTTTAAGTCCAAACACCAATTTCTAAACATATATATAGCAACCCTATCAACTCTTGTTCCATCCATAAGTGTTATTTTTCTGTCTAAATAGCAAACAAACAAACAAAAAAAATATCAACAACAGTCATAGTAGAGATGGATAAGAGAAACTTGTGCCTAATAGTGACTCTGCTACTCTTATCCATCTTTTCACAAGTAACCATTGCTGATCAACCAGAAGGCAAAGGTAAGGAGGTGAATGCAGTTGCTCCGAATCCCGGTTATGTTGCATTGGATCCATTGCCAGGTACGGGGCAAGAACGTGCGTTCTGCACCGTTCAGGGAGTTTGTTACTACAGAACTCTTACCTGTCCAACAGAGTGTCCTCAAAGGAAGCCTAAACAGAACAAGAAGCAGAAGGGATGCTATATTGATTGCAGCAGCAAGTGTGAAGCAACTTGCAAGTGTAAGCACTATATGCTCATTCTCTTTAGTTTTAGACCACAAAATTTAAAAGTGTCTGTCTAAATGAATGTATGAAACGACACGAGTATACTGTAGGACAAATTTGATACTGTTAAAATATACTGTTTTCTTGATGACCCGCTAAATAAACTCAAAGTTTTCACTTCTTTGACAGGGAGACTACCTAGGTGTGATGGTTATGGTGCTCTATGCTACGATCCGAGATTTGTGGGGGGTGACGGGGTGATGTTCTACTTCCATGGAGCAAAGGATACCGACTTTGCCATTGTTTCAGATGACAACCTCCACATTAATGCACATCTAATTGGCACACGACCACAGGGAAGGAAGCGCGACTATACATGGGTTCAAACATTGTCAGTCAAGTTTGACACCCATACATTAGTCGTAGGAGCAACGGAAGTGTCACATTGGGATGATAAGGTTGATGCTCTTATTGTACAGTGGAACGGTGAGACAGTTAATGTCCCAACAGATGGAGATGCAGAATGGAGTGTTAACACTGCTGAGAGATCAGTCGTGGTCGAAAGGACAGATGATCTCAACAGTGTGAGGGTCACAGTATCTGAACTGTTGCAATTAGATGTGAAGGTAGTACCCATTGGAGAAAAAGAAAACAAGGTTCACAACTATCAGCTACCAGCAGATGATGCTTTTGCTCACTTAGAGACACAATTTAAGTTTTTCAATCTATCTAAAGATGTTGAAGGAATTCTTGGCAAGACTTACCAGCCGGGATATGTTAGTCCAGTCAAGAGAGGGGTGCCGATGCCAATCATGGGAGGGGAAGACAAGTATCAGACACCATCACTTCATTCAGCTATCTGCAAGAAATGCAGGTTCCAAAGACCCTCAAGTGTGGCCTCAGCTTGATAATCTTGATAAAGATATTAACCAATAAGTGTATTGTGTATTGACTAAAATATTGCTATTAATCTGATTGTATTTGGATCTGTTACTAAATATGTGAATAATGGATGCGAAAATCATGCAGAAATTTTCGAGTTTACTATGATATATCAATCTATGAATGTGGCTTATACTCTGCTTGATGGAAACATCCATGCGGCAACTTTTTCTAAACTATAATCTCATCAAGTTGGAGAGCAAAGCAAAAGTATTGAAGCTTTTTTTCTTTTATTATATCTCATCAAATTGGTGAGGGAAGCCAAAGTGTTCTTCCTCTCCGAGACGTACAAGTAGCTAAACACTATCTTTCTGAAGCTGTAACTTAGTAATAGTTTATCTGACCTTCTACCACTCTTATACTTAGGAATGTGCCTTCTCGGTCCATTAGTTCCGTGAGGCATCATGTACAGGAAGCTTCTACAGCTAAACTTTTTGCGACTCCTTTACATGGCTCACCAAATACATTTATTGAAACTCCAAGACTACAGCTTTTTGAGCCAATGCAAGCCTGCAAAGATGGTCGAATTGAAATTTGGTTAGAGATATTTCAAACTGGATCTACCAGTTTAATTTTTATTGAGTGACCGGTCAAAAACACACTTAAAGTATCCCAGTTTGTTTGACTTCCCTACCCGGACTATTAGATGTTCACTTTTCCTACTTGAACTACCATCGACTATTTATCAAAACACACTTCAACTATCAGTTGTCCCCTTTTCCTACCTAAACTATCACCATCGTTCAGGTAGGAAAAGGGAACAACTGATAGTTGAGGTGTGTTTCGATAAATATTTGGTGATAGTTCAGTTAAAAACTCGCACACCTTATAATTCAGGTATGAAACTCAAGTAACTAGGATACTTAAGATCAAATAAACTGGATCTAACCTTCTTTACAATTGAAAGAGCATTGCTGCTACTGCATCGACCATGGATAAAGCTCCCGCATGTTCCTTGAGGAGTGCCAAAGCTTGCAAATTTGATTGAAGAGATGACTTGATTAGGATGAGGGCACTCAAGAGATAGAGTTGGCCCTGATTTGTTTCGTGCATCGTCTTCCGAAGCCCACATATCAATAGGAAGTGGATGAGCCTCAGATATTCTTGAGCATACACTTTGTATCTCTCTTGTTGCAAAAGACAGCTTCGTAGGATCCCCACCCATTTCCTCAAACAACACTAAGACATTTCCACTGGATTTCAGCCATGAACGAGGAACATGGTATCTACAAAGTTTAAATATGAAAGTTACATTCAAGATTGCTTAACTAGAATTGATATACCGAAACATTTCACCAGATACTCTCTGAAAACTTTTAAATACTTGAGATTTGCTAAATACTTACAGCAGTTGGGATGGTTTTCCACAATTTTTGAGACATTTGTTAGCATTGTATCCTCCTCTATAATTGCAGGTGTCAGTACAACCGTTATTTGGTGCAGTATAGGTAGGCCAAAATCGACCAATGCTTTGCCCATTCACCCATGCCTCACCCTTCCCCATTCCAGTAAAATCCATCGAAAGAGGGGTATCACCAGCAGGAGCATCAAAACTTGCCTAAATGAACAAAACTTGTAGTTTAGTTATGGACTAATCGAAAGATTTGGACAACTGTTACCTAACGATAGGTACTCACATACAAAGACAAGATTATATCAGTTCATTATAAGAGGCATATTGCTAACATACCGAACCAACAGTCATGAAAAGAATCCTGAGTTCTTTTATTGTCAACCTACTTTCAAGTAAAATATACGAGCAGATGAAACGAGTATTTTGATAATATTGCTCTATGATGTGTTCTTTTGATTTGAGTTCATCAACATTAGCCTATTATAACTAGTAAATATTAGGAACTTTGGCAAATCTGTTCTGATTCTATTCGCAAATCTGTCTGGAACATTTGTAGCCTATTCATTCCATCAAATAAAATCTTCAAACAAGGTTACATAACTGATGTGCAACAACAACAACATACCCAGCGTAAACTCACAAGTGGGGTCTGGGGAGAGTAGAGTGTACGCAGACCTAACCCCTACCTTGAGAGGTAGAGAGGCTGCTTCCGATTGCCCTCAACTCAAGGAGGAGCATATCGAAAAGAAGCAAATGTCAAAATGTTCACATTTATCCTTAAATTGCACATATCTGAAACACATATTACCTTATACCATATTAATGGTTGGTTTGTAGGCAATTCAGTTTGTGACTTCCAAAGTGTAGAACCTCCACTAGATAAGCCCATTTCTTCTCCTTTCAATCCAACCTGACCAACAAAGTACACATGATAGGCAATGTCAATATGATTATCCTTCAGAATTAAAAACCTTATGCTACCAGAGATTTGTCGAAAATATAGAAGGAAATGAAAGATTGAAAATGGAATGAAATCCTATGGACCTATTAACTTAACCTGATATGTCCACTGCTTCGATGAAAGATCAGTAGTAGAGCCATTTTTGAAACCTTTCAATTGCACTGGACCGGTAATCCCTGCTCCCTTGAGATCAAAGAATGCTCCGTAGTTCTGGAGTCAATATCAGGTGTGTATTAGATCATGCTTCTAAAATGGAAGTTATAACAATGTGAAGTTTTTCATAGATAGTAAAAGTTAATAATCAGGGACCAAAAGAATATATGGCAGATAACAAATCTTCGACAGGATAAATGAAAATTCAAACCTGAAGTCCCACAGTCGCACTCAACAGGTCGATTTTGTTTACTCCAGGCACAAGGGTGACTGGAACTTCAATCGTAAAGTTAGAATGTCCACTGTTTCCTTTTCCACTTCCTACAAACAATCACAAAGTTTATGCAAAATGTTAAGCATTGTAAGAACAACTTGTCACAGTAAAACTTACTTTAAAGGGCAGTGAAAATCATATATAGTGCCTATTCCACTATCTATTACTCCAACAAGGATGAATTATCTGCTGATTTCAGCAACCACAAGAGAAATGCTAAATACAATATCACCACTTAACATGCTTCGGCTACTTTTTTTGCTTTGGCACCTTGAATAGTCTTACTATAAATCATTGCAGTACACTTCTCATTGTCTTGGGTAACTAACAGGTAGTCATCAAGCATCATTTATTTCCGTTACCTGATAGCTTTCCATTAATGAAAGCATGAAGAACATGGCCAAGTGTTTTCACATGAAGTACCGTTGCGGATCCATCTTGAAGGAAAGGCTCATCATTTTTTATATTGACACTGGAAAAAATTAGAATTGATGTAAGAAAAGTGAACTTCAGAGCAGATGAGGATCATGCGTGCAAACAGAGAACACTATTATTCTCATAAAATGCTGCTGATTAGAAACTACAAAAGTGGAGCTGATGCAATTTGCTGTAGTATATTTCTGTTTTTACCTCAGGGAGTACCAGAGATAATCGCTTTTATCAGCTGTAGTATTTATCTGTTCCACCAACCCCATTCTTGTGAATGCATTTTCACTTGAGATGCCTACAGGCTCATTAACTGAAGTCCAACCTGATAGGGATGCGCCAGATGCATCAGCTTCCGAAGACTGAGTAACAAATGTTGAGATGGTTGATACAGAATTAATCTGTCACGGAGAAATGTAAAACCATTAGCTTGAGCTGCAACAACCACATATCTATGATTCAGACTAGACAAGATTATGAGCCAAACCTTTGCAGTATTAAAAGCAACATTCTTGCAGTCAGGTAAAATGCTGACGGACCATGGAGGTAAATGATATGAGTTTCCATTGAAGCTCACAGCCGCATCAGATTGCGTAGCAGTATTGGCGAGAAATGCAGAACACTGTGAGTCAGTTTTATAAATACTGGCCTGAAAGAAGAAAAAATATTGTAGTTTATAATGTGAAGCTCTCCTTACAAAAGTAATGCTATCTGTACAATTCCTTCTTCTCTTTCACTATGTGTTGTTTTTAAGTGAAATATCCGAAATAACAAAGAAGGTGAAGAAGGCAAAATGAAAAAGAGACGGGATGGTTCAAGGATGTTTGTTATACTACCGCTGAGTCCCGATTTCTAAAGCCATTAGTAGTATGGCATGCTTAGACAATCGTTTTTAGGATCATTTGGGCGGCAATAGGTTTGAATATACAGTGAAACTCAGATATGCTAGCATCAGCAACTTATGATCTGGTAGACTAGAAGTCTTACAATACAATACACACCACAACAAATTCTAAACTTGTTGAACCATAGGTCAAATTGCATTACTATTTGAAGCAACTGAAAAATTCTTCACGAGTGATTGGAAGTACTGTTTTCGTGTTAGACAAAGGTAAATATACCTCTATAGTAGAGCCCAGAGAAGTGATGTTTGGTTCAGTTGCCACCATTGCAGCCTCACAAAGCTTTATGGCTTTATGGAGATCTTTCAAGTGACCCCATTTTGGTTGTCTTATAAGCCCTGCATTTCGCAATGGAGATTTTCACCTAAGTGAAATGATAAGCCCATAACAAGCTAGGGAAATCAAGATTGGTCAAGAGGGAGAGGAACCATACCGTACTCATCTAAAGGAGCATCATAGTCATAGCTAGTTGCAATAAACGGTCCACCACTGGTTCGGCCAAAGTTAGTTCCCCCGTGGTACTGTCCGAAAGCAGTAAATATCATTTATAAGACTTAGTTCAGCTGCCAACTGTCATTACAGGCAAGGAACTATAAATCAAGACACTCATATAGTACCATGTAATAGTTCTGGAAGGTTCCGCCTCGCTGGAAAAATCGAGCCACAGCAAAAGCAATGTCTTCCACAGGTCTGTAAGGGACAGGACCACCAAAAGACAGAAACCTATGTTCCAAACAATTCAAAAAGGTGGAATTGTAAGAGAAACTTGGGATATTTTGAATAGCACCAGATATGATCAGTTTATTAAAGAACTAAAAACCGAAATGCCTTACCATCCGGTCCAATTCTCAGTCCACATCTTGGGTGTTTTATCGGAATTTTGCTTGAATTGGTCACAATAAAATCCATTGCAAGTGTTAATCTGTCATTATCACAGCACACACAGAAAGTTAATAACTACCTTAGTGGCAATCTGTACAAATTGTCAAAAAAATTGGATAGTCTACAGGGGTTCTCAAGGTGTTTTTTCAATCACTTAAACACAAGGTGGAGATATGAAAAACTCACAACGGAAGGAGGGGCATCTGGTTGCTGACACATAACCCATGGCACTCCTGTATCCAAAGCCGTAGCCATTGATGCTGCCCAGTTCACGTAAGGTTTGGCACGAGGACCATAACGAGACTCAATATCACCATTGCCATACTCATTTTCTATCTGCTTGGTCAGCAAAGCATCTTTAGTACTCAAAACAATAACAAAGAGCAACTAATATCAACTCATTTCTTAGTACTCCAAATGTAGTAAATCACTATGAGAAGCAAACCTGAGACAAGATAACCGGCCCACCTTGGGATGCAAAAAGATTTTCTTGCTTGATCATGTCAACAATTTTAGTCGTGAATCGCTTCATTTCTGCCTGCAACACGAAGCCCTCATGTCAATGAACTCCAAAGCCAGTATCCCAAGGAAAAACTAATCAATAGCAAAAAAGGGAATACCTTGAATGGTTCATTGTCCGTTCGAAATTCAATTCCAGGAATGAAATGCAACCAAAGAGGAAACCCACTGTCTCAAAACATATCAAAACCATCAATTAATTTATCAGTAAAGCAAAATCCATAATATTTGAAACATAGCAAAAAGAGTATAGAGTTACCCATAGTTCCATTCTGCACAAACATAAGGCCCAATCCTTACATGAACAAATAAGCCAGCTTTCTCCACCAACTTCACAAAATTAATCAAATCTTTCCTTCCTTCAAAATCATACTGCAAATGTGTTCATCACATCAGTTCTTCCCATTTTCGTCGTGTTCATCACATAAAAGGAAAACAACCTCATTACTTTATAAGTTCAATCAAGTTCTTGGAACTCGAAACAGTAAAAATCTACGTTGGACTCTTCAAAAATGCGGTCGGTGCAATAGGATCGTCCAAAAGTTGTGCATTTTCTGAGGATCCTAGCCTGGTGCGACAACATTCTTGGAAAGTCTGAGCAACATAGGTAAAAATGGAAACTTTCCACACTCATTTTTGTCTAGCTCAAGATTCCTAACTTTATTAAAAGGAAAACAACTCATTACTTTATTTGCTCAATCAAAACTTGTTAGCACTCAACATAAGAAACATTAAAAGTAGGAACATTTCCATTCTTTCCTATTCTTGGCACATAACTGAAGCAAAGAATAGCAACAACACTCATAGTCGAAGTCAGGATTTGAAGATTATGGAACAGAATTTTCACTAAGATGGTTCAAAATATGAAGTCAAACATGGTTCAACACCTACTACATATACATAAAACATCATTTCAATCATATTTAATCATATATAAACAATATAATTTTTCACCCAACGAGAGCTCAGATGAACCCCTCGGCCTCAACTAGCTCCGCCCCAGAGTCAACTACAACAACAACAACAATCTACTGCAATCCCACGAGTAGTGTCTGGGGAGGATAGTGTATACACAGACCTTATCCCGATCAACAACAGAGCTGAAATTACCTGATTTCGAACAGGTTCATGAAGGTTCCAGAAAACATAAGTCTCTATAACATCCAATCCTCCATCTTTTGATTTCTGTATAAGGTCTGGCCACATCTGCATTATCACAAACAATAGATTAAAAAAATATTTTAAAAATCATTTTTTTTTTAATTTTGAGAAAAAAAAAAAACTCACATCAGGAGTACTCCGAGGATAATGTATTGAACCGGATATCAAAACTCTTCTCTTTCCGTCAATAATCAATGCCCGGTGATCATACGTCACACTAGCGGCAAATGACGTCATCACCAAACAATGCAAGAAAACCACTCCAAACACTAACATTATAACTGATAAACAATACCCACTTCTTCTTTCCATTTTCCGGCGAAATTTCTGATTTTCCGGCCAAAATCCTTGATTTTTCGATCAACTAATACAATTCCCAAAATTATTTATACCCAAAACAATGTACAGAGTAATTCTTTGTTAGAAACAGAGCTTTTTGGTTTTTTTTTTTGCAGCTTTTACGGTTGTTTGCTTAAAAGTATGAAAACTGAAAAGGGAATCAAAATGTTAAGGATGAAGATGAAGTTATCATAAGCCGGAGACGACACGACAACTAATAATGTCAAAAAAAAAATTAAAATTAATTATAATAATGACGTTGTCATCGTCGTTTTGTTCATCATTTTTCTGCAGTACTGGACGGCTTTATACTGATGATGATGAGTTTTTTTCAATGCTTATGAATTATAAATTATACAGATAAGTATTTTTGTTTTTTCAATGAAATAAATACAGAGTATTTAGTATTGTCGGCTCAAAACACTAAAAGCAAGCAGACATTTTTGCCATTTCTGGGTATTATATAAGAAAATGTATAAAACAGAGTAATATTCTTGCACGAAAAGTGAAAATATATGTTACCGCTGATTCTGCTAACAGAACCAAAAAGGGTAGTTCGGTGTATTAAAGCTTCCTAATTATAAGGGACTATTGTCGGATATAATAAACAGAAAAGTTCAATAATGATGAATATGAGTTATGGTGAAATAATTTGAAATTTCTTGATATTTTTTTTCCTGGTTCGAGATTCCTTGTTCAGGAGATTTTGAATTTAATCGTATCTCAATATGAATATATATAGTATAATCAAAAAAGAGGTTTAAGTCATCACTTTCAATCGGATAAAGATTTTTTTTTTGTTTTTACCGTTTGTAATGTGAGGTGAATATGTATAATTAAGAAAGAGGTTTAAGTCATCACTTTCAATTGGATAAATGATTTTTTTGTTGTTTTACCGTTTGTAATGTGAGGTGAAAATTGAGAATGGCGTGGTAATTTCTTTGGTAGGTAGACATTAGTAGTTGTAAAGTAAATAGTGGCTTGCGGGTTAAAGTGTGTGACCATTTTATTTAAATTGTCTGATTTATGTGAATTTTTTTTTTGACATGAGTGACGGTGAGATTGATCTCAAGATCTTTGCATACCATGTTGAAGTGTCATCTCATCTAAAAACTTAAGTTATTAGAGAGTATATTTATTATTCCACCTGTCTCAATTTATGTGACTTACTTTCATTTTCAGTTAGTACAAAAAAAGAATGACAACAATTTAACTATAAAATATTTATTTTACCCTTAATGAAATGATTTACAACCACATAAATTTCTATCATTCATTTTGGACCACAAATTTTAAAAGTTTTTCTTTCTTTCTTAAACTTCATGCTGAGTCAAACTATCTCGCATAAAATGATACGGAGGGAGTATTTGATAATATTTTCAACAATTAATTTAAATTTTGTATAATATAGTATAATTTACTAAAATTAAAAAGAAAATTAATTTCTACTAAAAGAAATTTCAATTCTCCCTATTCAAATTTGAAAATTTGAGATCCCTAATTATACATGTTATAGTTAAAATGAGTATACGGAGAAGTTATTTTTAAAACTTTTTCATGAGTTTATTTTTTTATATTTTGAAAATTTTGACTCTGACACAAAAAATAAATAGTTAAATCATAAATGTGTGTGCTATTTTTGTTGTTGTCAGTTTCCGTTTTACAGACTTTCACGTCACGTGAAAAGGACGATGAAACTTTACCAGGTAGATGAGAAAAATTGTGTCACACCGTTAGTGAAGTATTTGCCGTTTCAAGTGATTTTATGAGTTCCTTTTTTTTTTCGATGAAAATTCTACCTTCGTCATTAATGATAGAATAATAAATATCTTTCTTTATTTAATTAGAGATTTGGATTTGAATTGTTAAATTGCATTCAATGAAAAATACTTTTATCATAAAATATTTTTTTTACAATATGAATCCACATAAAATATAATCCAACCTATAATATCGAATATCAGATGAAAAAAATATTATACGTATTCTTTTGTTAAAGTATACAGAGACTTTACTCAAGTTATAGTTGTGCATTTTTTTCACAAGACAGAAAGTTTGTTAATACTACTAATATTTTTTTTAATCAAAATATTTATAGAATCAAATAGGGGAAAAGTGGTAGACAAACTCTTACCAAGCAATCCCAATCCCAATCCCAAGACTCCTTTTTGCCTTTTTCCATCTTTTTTTAAAAAATAAAATAAAATATATATATATATAACAATAATAATAATAATATACTAAGGATAATTTTACATCAGAAATGTGGAGAGGATGGATAGTCTTACACCTATCTCGTTAAGAAGTGGGAGTCGCTCAATGTAAATTTGATTAGTTATTGATCCATTTATTTATTAGATTGATTTATTTCAGTTCATTAAAAATCAACGCCATCCCAAATTGATTTATGAGAAATTTATCAAATAAATATTTTGTTTAGTTTAATATGTTATATAAAATCATATATAAAGAAAAATAATATTTTATTAAATACTTAAAAATAAATAAAATAATTAATACTAGTAAAAATGTACGATTGGATTTTACCTCTCTTTTTATTTCCTTTCATTTCAATTCAAATAATTTCGAGTAAATTAATAATCTATTTATTTTAATCTGTTCAAATTCAATTAAACTCGTCCATTTATTTTTATAAATGAAGAGAATCCCAAGATTTGGTTTTTGATTTTTGAATTAAAAGGTGTAAACGTGTAACATAGATAGTGCATATAATTACAGAAACATATTATTTTTTGATTAAGGTTGATTACATTATTAGTGCTTTTTGACTTGTGTTCCAACCTTATTATATAATTTATTTTGAAAAAAAATATAATTAAACATAGTGTTGGTAAATAGCACCCAAAGTTGTCGGTGGAGTAATAAATTTTAAAAATGCCAATTTATTTAATTTGTTCCAACATTTAGTAATTGGTAGGGACTCCACACACATATTACCTACTCTTCCCACTATAAAGTGTTCTATTTTTCTTTCTATACGTGGTATCTATTTTAAAATTCGATTATTCTATTTTCTTTCTTCATAAGGTATCTGTTTAATACTCAATTTATTTAGATTTACGTTAAAAAAAAATTCATATTAAGCTAAAGTATTATACACTTGAGATTTATTTTTTTGCACTTGATTAAATCATGTATTTTATTATGATTATAAGTCAAATAAAACATTTTTTACTTTAGAAGTATGTCCACGTTTAGACATCTCAATTTGTTTATAAAATGTTCATTAATATCGATTGTCCACCATACACAACAAAAATGAATTAAAATATTAAGTTGTTAGTTGATACCAAATTATGATATTTTGATGTATACTTTCAAAATTAAAGCGCTCGCATATAAATTTTAAAATTCCGAATTCGACTACGATAAGTCATTTGAAACAATGGTGTCATGAATATGGATCAATCAATACGAGTTGTGGTGCAATGGTGAGACTGTTTCACCTTTAATTAAACGTCTCAAATTCGAATCCTAGATATGGAGAAAATTTTGTTGGGAGCATCACCTCCGAATGAGCCCTGCAATACGTGATTCGAATTTAGTCGAAGTTTTAATATAGGCTCCAAACATCGAGCGAGAAAAATGAATGGAATATGGACCAAGGGGGTCACCTTCAATGTGCCGTGCAATGCAATAATAGAGCTAATAGCTATCACTAATTAATTGCATTGTCCATTTCATTTTGAATGCTATTCCAATCTTTCATTATTTTTCCATTTCATTTGAGTTTGGTAATAAATATCATTTGCATGGCCTTGTGAAATTTGGAAGAACGATAATAATATATCCGATATAATTTTATAAATAAAATTTAGAAAAGATAATATATATATATATATATATTTAAACTTTACTCCTATATTTACTCAATCGTGAGGTATATATAATATATTCAAACGTATAATCATTTTACACTATTGATTATATTATATTAGTTAAAATTTATAAGAAAATAAAAATTATTATTCCTTCTATTCAAATTTATGTTGCGTTGTTTAAATTTTGAGAACCAATTCTTTAATGTTAATTGTGAGCTAATTGAATATATATGGAGCTTGTAAGTTTTTAAAAAATAAAATTTGTCTATTTAATAATAATTAAAAGTACTATAAACTAAATTATATAATTGACAATTCAAAATATTTAAAAAATATATAAAAAAATATACTAAAAAAAACTTATTTTGACTTTCGAATTCAAACAATGCTATATAAATTATAACAGAGGGATCACAATAATTATTTTGTTATGGTCCTTGTTGTCCTTTTTATTTGCCGTATTTAAATTTTGTCCCTAACAAAGTTGTATAAATATAGCTTTTGAAAAAGTACACTCCTCAACAATTTTGAATTTCTGTCTAATTGTTGCTCATGTATTTTTTGAATTTTACAAACAAAACATTAAAATTGTCATTTAATTATTGTAATAACTTACAAAATTTTAGATTATAATCTATTGTCTTCTCGTAAGTTTTTGAGTTTTTCCGGAATAAATCTTTAAACTATGATCTAAAATATTCATAAACTATTTAATAAATAACTCTTAAAAAGCGACCATCGATAAAAATTTCTTATAAAAATCCCAATAAACAAAAACAAGCAAAATTGGGTTTAAAAATTAACTATTTTTCTAATTTTCACCCAATATTTTAATATCTGCATTAAAATTCAACTAAATTTGAATTCACGTTTGAGGGTAAAAATTAAAATTTAATTAAATCTGAATTCACGTTTAAGTGTGAAAATTTTGACTTTTGATGATTAAAAAGGGTTTAGTTTCTTCATTGAATTTTTATTTGTTACACTTTAATGAATTGCATGATTGGACTTTCCCACAATGAACCATCATTGTCATGATTAATTGTCCTTTCTTTTTCTTCTAATTGATACAATTGTCCTCACCTTTTTATGAGCTGTTAGATTTGTTTAAATTATCAATATAATTATGAATGTCTTGACACTTTGAGATCTTTTAAAATCAATTTTATTTGCAGTGTAGCTACTTGGCAATATAATTATCACTATCATGG